GACTGGAAAATATTTGGATCTGAGAGAGAGGTGCTTACTCCTGGCTAGCAGACTAAGTAAGCACAGCCATAGCTTTCCTCAAAATTCCTAGTCAACATCATCATCCTTCACTTGACTGTGGGGCTGCTCACAAAGGTGCACATGTCTGTCATCTGGAAAGAGTAGGAAGTCGCCCTGGCCGGTGTGGCTCAGTTGGCTGGAGTGTCATTCCATGCACCTAAAGGTCGCAGGTTTGACTCCCGGTCAGGGTACATGCCTGGATTGCAGGCTTGGCCCCTGGTCGGGGCTCGTGTGAGAGGCAGCCAATCGATGTTTTTCTCTCTCCCTCTCCTTTCCTCTCTTTCTAGAATCAATATAAATAAATAAATAAATAAATAAATAGGCAGTCTATTTAGAAGAGGCTTCTTACCCTCTCCCTGATTCACATTATCAAAAATAGCTTAGTATGCTATGTGCATTGTGTGTTATTTCCTTAGGTAAAATAAGCTAGAAGAGTTGGAAGGAGGGCAGGTCTTGTAGCTTTTGCTAATGATAAAAAATGCATTTTCTGTTTTATAGTTTTTAATTTTGGGCTTTGTTTTTCAGGTAGGAGATTTGAGGTCCTGCCTTACAATCTAGACAGAGATCAATGTCATCTCTGTGGACTACCATCTATTATTCATAGGCTAAGGGTGGAAAATGTAATACCACTGGCCACTAAAAGGTAACCACATTTCAGATTGTTGAAACGTTCTCCTTTTCTGGAGGGGTGGCGGGCGACTGGGAGGGTTGGGAAGGGGAGGAGACCTTAATCCCCAGGAGAGAGGCAAAAAGTGCCTGAGATTTTTTTTTCTTTTCAGTTTTCAAAGTCTACATCAAAATCTTTCCAGGGTGAAACCTGAATCTCTACAAGGGAAAGGATTACACTTAAAATAAAGCTCAATGACAGATAAGCAGAAACATAAAATGATAAGCCAACAAAACACATGAACTGCCACAAGAAGTCATCTCCATGCAGCAGCCACAGGGGTAGAGCCTAGAAAGTCACTTACTTTTCTCCGAGTGTCACCCGGAGGCTGCTCTGGAGTAGAGAAATGGGTTGTTGGCATTTTGTTTTTTAGTAAAAGACACACCCACATTCAGAACAGCAACTATTGCACTTAGGACTACATTTATTAATAGAAAACACTTAAGAGTCATTACAGCGAAAAGTGCCTGCAGTGCTACATATAAACACACACACACACACATCCACAGTAAAAATGCTGCAGATAGGATGGGATTTTAAAATGAATTTATGGCTCTTCAAAACTTGACCAGGGAACTATTCTATGGGTATATTTTACTGAGTATAACTCAACTGCTATAATTCTGGTCATACATAGACTTTTCTTCAGCATTCAATGTTACTTTCAATAACCTGGTTTCAGAGTCTAATACTGTGAACAAACAATTCATTATAAAGTTAAAGTGTTAGCTGGCTATTTCCCAGGGAGTGCAGGACGAGAAAACAGGTTTTCTAAAAAAAGTTTTAATACAGCAACACGTGTATGTGGGACCATTACCCAATTAGATTCTCTAGTCAGACATTCTATTCTGAATGCAAATAGAGCAAAGGCTTTGGAGCTCTCTGCTGCTTTTGGTGAAAATGAAGAAAGCAAAAGACAACTGAAACAACTTTCTGCTCTTAAAGTGGACAAATTATGTATCTGTGCTTTGGATTTTCTTCATTCTGTAAAAGTGATAAAAATAATCAAAGCAAGATTTTTAACTCTAAAATATTGGAATACATTTCCAAATATCTTATATTAGAAATTATAACATCCAACTGTGCTAGAGGAGAGTGGCTGCAGAGTCAATTAGCCTCAATTTATCAAAATAATATGTATATATATTTTTGCCTTGGGCATCAGTTTTCTGGTACACAAATGGCAGGAGCAGTGCTTGCTTAAGACAGTCTGCCAAAGGTGACTAGATTAAAGGAAATCAAACCCAATCTTCCAGAGTAGAGGGCAAATTCCAAGTTGTACAAAACTTGGTAACATAAGTATGTAAGCAATATACAGAAGAATCTCTTCACCCGCCTCAGAAGAGAGACCAGGGAACTGTAAAAAGATAGCCAGAGATCCTACACTCAGGATCCTATACTGAAACCAAAATCCATAAATTCAGTTCACATACACTGGAATATTTTAAACTAATTGATTATACACTGGATTCCCAATTCAATTTCCATCAATGCCAATGTTTACTTTTTTAAAAAACATTGTATCCCCATTAATGATGGGAAGAAATTGAGGATAGGACCAGAATGTAGTATTTCTGTTCCGTTAGCCTTTCCTTTATTATACAGCTAATTTTTGTTCTTTATAAGGAACACAAAAATAACTCATCATTTTTCTGAACTCATTTATCTAAAACACAATCCTTTGACAAAGTTGATAAAAAATACTGCTCCAGAAGTTTGTTGAGTGGCATTAGGGAAAATAAATTCATAGGTATCACCTACTAATTAACAAGTTTGAGTTTTCAATTACTTAGGCCTATTCGGGGTATTCTGGATCAGCCACCAAATGCATTCAATCTGATAACCTGTTTCTTTAGCTACAGATGCCAACGAGAGTATCTTGGTGTTCAGACACAAAGAATGCAGCCCTACTGCTATTATTTTTATAGAAAAGGATTTTATTTACTATAAATTAAGGTCACAGTTCCCCAAATGGCTCAGTTTGAAAATAGCCAAAGGAAAATGCCTGTGCCTGTTAAATCTCCAAGTTTCAAACCTACATAACTTCTGAAATCAGCATTTGGGTTTTCCAATAGGAAGTTAATATTTTGTTCTGATGGATCTTTTCCTTGGTTCTCTTAAGTCTCATAATTTCTGCCATGAAAAGATGAGTCAACTAGACTGATCAGGAAAACCAGAACTTTCATACCATTGCTACCTTCATCCTAACTAAAATTTTACTTTTAAAATCTTCAAGGCTAGCAACTTTTAAACACTTATATTTTCCTTTAAGAATATATATTTCAATTGGACAAATACTTAGGAGAAATACATGTGCCTTTGAGTAAATACTGGCTTTCTAATAATCAAGACAGGCTAATGACAACTGCCAGATTAGTCCTCAAGTTTTTGGGAAACCATGGATTCAAAAGGAGCCAAATAAATATAGCAACTATAGTGTACACTTTCCCTTAGAATTGTTAATTTCTGTGAATTGATTTAGTCAACAAAAGAGCAGTGAGATTTATCCTGAAGTGATGGCTAAATGCCATACTGTACTTACCTCCAAATAGTTCCAAATCTCTTAAGCCCTCAACAATGAACTTTTCCGAGACCCACCGCTAAAGAGGAAAACCCCAAAGAGAATTAGTATTTCTTCCAAACCACAAAAAATTAGCTCTCAGCCGTTAGAGAGACAAACAAAACACAACTACAAAAACAGAATCATGCATTACAGTTAAGATACATTTCTATGGAAAAGTTTTGAAAAGAATCTTGAATTTAACTGCAGAAAACAATAGATGAATTCCTTTCTCTATTCCTCTTTGCCTAATTTGATGAATTATTCTTAAATCTGGCAAATTGAGAAGAACCCAGTACTGGCCCTGATAATGAAGAATGTTTTTCTCCTTTCTACATGTAAAACAACCTTTTGGCTCCATCTTACTCATTCCATGGCTACCTATTACAGATGCTCAGGCCAATTTGAAAATTACTAGAATTCACAATATAGAAAATAGGGATGAAACAGGAGTTTTTCACAAGCCTCTACTAGTTTGTAAAAGAAAATTACTAGCTGCATATCCTTCATCCAGTAGGATCTCTAAAGTCATCGCTGCTAACATTTGCTACCAAATGCTACTTTTACAAGGACGGAACTAGCATGATCAATCTATGGTTCACTTTACTGGCCTATTTCAACCGAGTATTGGGTTTCCACATACTGATCAGTGGTCTGGTTTCACCTGTATCAGAGTGGGTTGAAATAGAAAAGAAGCTCACATTTAAAAGCAATGGAATCAAGGTTGTATTTCACATAAGGACTGGTGTTAAAGTTTGGCTTGGACACATTCTTTCCACTGGGCAGAGTTCTGGCTAAGGAGAGAATCTGTTTTTCCTCTCAGCTGACAGTGAAGTTTACTCTTTACAATGTAAATTGTTCTTATATATATAAACATAAGAAAAAAGATTAAGCAACATTCAGAAATATGCTGCATAATACGAATTATAATTTGGAACTATAACATCATTCTCTCTCCTTCTCCAATTAAAATTTTTTCCAAATTACAAAACACAACACTATCAATTAAAAAACACTTGATATAAAAAAATCACATGCACTGTGCCACAAGATAGTTAGTAAAAATAAACTATCACTTTAATATTTAAAGAAAGTGATATATTCATCATGTATCATAGCATTTATACATTGTTGCCAGATTTTAAAATAATTATTGCACTCAGAAATTAAATACTTGATAAAAAATAAAATACACTCTTTTATGAAATCATGGTAGCTTGTAAAGAGGCTAAATCTAGTATTCATTCTCAAGGTCATTTTAGCTGGTGAAGTGTTTGGGTATAATAAATTTTTTCACGTTAAGAAAGTTTTCGATGAAAACCTATGATTATATTTAGAAAAAAGTGTTCCAAGGATTACAATTTGATACTGATTTTTCAAACACACAAACTCGCTGAAAATACATAGGAAATGGGCAGATGGTTAGTGGTTACATACCTACACATTCAACTCATTTAATGTTGAATGATGGATATTCACAAAACACACCACCTTGTTTCTTCTCCATCAGACAACCTGGTGGGTGTATTCTGTGTCTCTGGTCAGCCTCTGCCTGCAAGCTCTTTTCTCTGAGTGGAGGCTGCGATGCCCGGTTTACTTCCCACATCCCTCTCTTCTGCATGATTCTGAACCTCACATAACAAACCACCTACAGTACTGCCAAAACACTTTGCTCTTCAGGAAATAAAAACAGTAAAGCCAGAAGAATAGAAACACTCACCCTAATTCGCTCTGGTTTACTTACAAGAAAAGACATGAGTTCCTAATCTGTAGGCCTATGTCAATTTCAAAAATTTAAACCTAAAAGGAAAATAGAAACAGGTGGAGTTAGTCAAATCTCTTTTTGTAGAAATATCTTTTGATTAATAAAAACTTACTGCAAATCTACCATTCAAAGTACTGTACTAAGTCTATAAATTGTAGATTCCAAAGATTTGCTTAGAGAAACTTTCAGTGACAATTGACCTGGATGTACTTTGTCCAAGTACAATCTGAAATACTGCAACTTCTATAAGAAAGAAGTTTATTATATGGTTTTCTTCTTTAATGTTTAAACCTCTCTTGGCTCAATCCCCACTGACTCCTTCCCAGAAGTAATTATCTTCTATTCATGTGCCTGTTTAACATCATTTTTTAAAATTTTTAATGTTTTTATTAATTTTTTTACAGAGAGAGAGGGAGAGGGCAAGAGAGAGACAGAGAAACATTGATATGAGAACAAAATATTGATTGGCTGCCTCCTTGCATGCCCCCTACCGGGGATCAACCCAGGCATGTGCCTTGATCAGGAATCTAACCAGCAACCTTACTTTCGGGCATGGGATGAAGCCCAACCAACTGAGCCACATCAGCCAGGACTCATCATTATTCTTCGTGTGTATATGGCCATGATTTACCCATTTTAGACATTTATCTTCTAACTTCCTACCATGGTAGATGGGGACTAAGCTCTCCTGTGTCACCTTCTTGCACTCCACTCTCCTGCCTTCATTCTTCTGATGCAGTGCTGGCACATGTTTGATGAAATCGGTATCCACGTTTACATGACTGTGACTATGCAAACATGGTTTGCAGCTGGGCAAACAGGTAAAGATGACCATGTCTTCTTTCTTTATAAACATTTAATCATTGCCTCATTTTTTTCATTCTCTTGGTTTTCCATGTAGCTATTAAGTTTTTCCAAATATTTCAACATCTCTGCTATTTGTCTTACCAGTATATTTTTCCATACACTCAAACTCCCCTGGAGAGTGCCTTCCAGGGCCCTCCATCCTCCTCCTACAATCTGAACCAGCTGCTTTCTAGCCCATCTGCACTTTTATATTTGAAAAGTTCTTGCATTATTTTTTTTTTTATTATTGTTGTTAATCCTCACTCGAGGATATTTTTTTTCATTTATTTTTTTTAGAGAGAATGGAAGAGAGGGAGGGCAGGGAGGGAGAAGGGGGGAGAGAGAGAGAGAGACAGAGACAGAAGCAGAGACACACACATCTATGTGAGAGAAACACATCAATCGGTTGTCCCCCGTTCAGGGATCAAACCTGCCACCTAGTTATGTGCCCTGACTAGAAACTGAACCTGCCACCTTTTGGTGTATGGGATGACGCTCCAACCAATGAGCAACCCAGCTAGGGCAAAGAGGTGTTTCTCTCACTCTCTCTCCCTTCGACTCTATCTAAAGTCAATGGAAAAATACCTTCAGGTGAGGATTAACAAAAAACAAACAAACAACCTATGGATGCCTGGCCCACCTTTAAAAATTTTCAATCAGGAGGTTGGGGATGCACAAGTAGAAATGGGCAACTCCCTATGGAGCTCAGCAAAGGGAACGATTGCTGGAGCAGAGGTGGATCTGCACAGGTTCATGAAGGGGTGGGGCTTGAGTGAATTCTAAGCATGAAATAGGATTAGCTATTGTCCGTTGCTTACTCTGTCTTGTCCAGAGGCGTATATATCCCCTAGTTTCTAGAGCAGTGCCTACCACATAGGAGGCACACAGTACTATTGAACGACTGACCAAATGTGCCGAGAAGTGTGTCAGCACCTCATGGGGGCAGTTAGAGAAGCAGAATTCCACATATGGGAGAGCAATGAGTAGGTCTTAAGTGATGCTAGCGTATGGACTTTATTCAGCAGAAGAAAGTCACTGTAGGTTTTGAACAGAAAGGGGACAAACACAAAACTGTGGTCTAAGGTAGTGTCTCTCAAACTTTATTGTACATGCAAATCACTTGAGGATCTTGTTAAAATGCAGATTTTTATTCAGAAGGTCTGGTGGTTCTAACAAGCTCCCAGGTAATGGTAATGTGCTGATCTGTGGACCATTACATCTGAGAAGCCTTGTTCTAAGGAACATAGAAGGAATATTAACTTGAAAAGGGATGGGGGGCGGGGGAGGGAGAGTGGAGTGTAAAAATAACTGAGAAAGGAATGCCAGTTAGAATACAATTATAGTGGACCGTATTTGTGGTGAAAGAGCCTGTGGTAGAGGGAATGTTAAGAAATTGATGGATAGGGGAGAAGAAAAATTAAATGTATTTAGTGAGGACACCATAAGTTATCTAGCCCATCCTGCACCCTTTGGAGGAATAGCTTTTACAAACTCCTGGATATAAGGTTATCTAGCCTCTGCTTGAAAATGTCCCAGGCCAGAGACTCACTACCTTATCAGGGAGCCCATCCTATCTGTGGACAACTCTGATGACTGATTTTTTGTGTGAGCTCAAGTAATTGGGAAAAGAGTAGTGTGTCAACAAGAAAACAGGAAAGCTCAGAGGTGGAAGTGGTTTTGGTGGAAAGATGAGTTCAACTTTTTAAATCATATTTCAATTGAGAAAAGATATATTCCAAGAGGAAATATATAGCATTCAGTTAGAAAAGTTAAGACTGATGCTCAAAAGAGAGGTTAGAGAAGGCTACGTGGAGCCAGAGTTAGGAGCTAAAGCTATACAAGTGACAGGAACTCACTAAAGGAGAAAATGGTGAGAGAAAAGCAGAAGGCGGGGAAGAGCCTTGGGAAAGTGAGGACATGGCGCTTGAGAGGCAGGGAGGAAATGGAGCCCAAAGGAAAACTTTCAAGATCCTGCTTTCTGCCTGGCTGGTGCGGCTCAGTGATTGAGCATCGACCTATGAACCAGAAGGTCACGGTTCGATTCCCGATCAGGGTACATGCCCAAGTTGCGGGTTTGCTCCCTAATGTGGGGCGTGCAGGAGGCAGCCAATCAATGATTCTCATCATTGGTGTTTCTATCTCTCTCTCCTCCCTTCCTCTCTGAAATCAATAAAAATATATTTAAAAAAAGAAAGAAAAAATATCCTGCTTTCCCTTCAGATCCGCCTTCCTTCCTAGACCTGTCCCTCTCAGTTGTCCGGTGCTATGGGAAATCCTCCCTCACTCCCCTCCCACCTATGGTAGATGTTTGGCCTCTGTATTTTTTAATATGTTTTTATTGATTTTAGAGAGGAAGGGAGAGGGAGAGAGATGGAAACATCAATGCCCCATAATGGGGATCAAGCCAGCAACCTGGGTATGTGCCCTGACCGGGAATCTAACCAGCGACCTCTTGGTGCATGGTCGATGCTCAACCACTGAACCACACAGGCCAGGCTGGCCTCTGTATTCAACCCTTACACCTATCACACTCTTAATTTCCCTGAGGGTAGGGAATAATCTTGTTCACTGTTGCATTTCCAGGGACTACTGTGCCCAACACATAATATGGGCACTCCCGTATCTGCTAACTTAATAATAGTAAGAATAAAAGCAGCAAACATTTGTGGTGAACTTACTGTGTGCCAGGATCTGTGCTAAAAGCTTCGCAGAGATCAGCTCACAATAAGTATTATCTTCCCTGTTTTATAGATCAGGAAATTAAGGCTCAGAGAGGCTCAACACCCAGAGTCACACAGCCAAGTGGTAAAGGACTGATGAGGTCTGTTCCAATGCCTGTGCCCCAGAAACCTGTCAAGAGATGCCGGGGAGACCTGTCAAGACTGTGTGTGCAAAGGCATAATGATGACTGAGAAGGCACCAACTGATTGGACAATGCTGATGACCAGGCGACAAATGGTATAGCAAGGAGGATTCATTTACTCATCCCTCCCCCCCACCCCCTATATTTGACGCTGGTTTTCTAAACTTCCTCCATGTCGGAGGTTACAACTATAAATACGGCATTTGAGCCACAAAACCTCTAAGAAACCTGGTTAAAGGCTGGGGGAACCGATTAACTAGCTCAGCACTGTAACTAATGGCGGGAGAGGCTCCTGGCCGGAGACAGGAAATCGGGTACGATTCAGGGAGAAGAAAAGGCCCTGGGTGTCCCTAGAACACACCAATCCCTCCATGAAGAACTGCCTAATGCCGCAGATACCTACTGGAAGATGGTTCTATTTCAACAGCTGTTGCGACAAGAAAGGGACCGATTCGAACGGCTTCTCCCCTTTGGGGGAAACACTGGGATGTGTTGGGACGTCTTGGCGGAAGGCTGGCCAGGGAAGTTGGTCGCCCATCTCCCGGGAACTTGGACTATTTTCGTTAGCCACGCCCCTTCCTCGCACTCCCTTCCATACCCCCGCCCGCGGTCTCCACCCCAAACCTACCGCGGACACTGAACATACTAGGAAAACAAGACGCTGGGGAGCTCTTTGTTTTCGCTAATTCGGGGAGTCACCCGAACCTCTGTGCTTCCAGCGTCTCGACCCCGCTGCCTGTCCAGCCTGGGAAGATGGGGATGAGGGCGAGGGGGCGGAGAGGCAGGATCTGCCGTCTCTGGGCTCGAGGAGGACACACTGAACCTGGGCCCCGAGTTCGCCACCTGTACGTCAGGGGGGGACGAGGGGGCGGGAAAGCAGGCGCTCGCCTCTCCCGCCCGGTAACTCCGCTCCGGTGTCGCCCCGCCAGGCCCAAGCCTATGCTGCTCTCGGGATGCAACGGCTCACGGAGGGAATGGAGTTGGACTCGCTGAGAGGGGGCCCGGGATGGCCGATCGGACGAAGGCCCGCCCGGAGGAGATGGGGTCGGAGGCAGGGAGAGGATGGACGGATGATCCCTGGACCGCACCAGACGGCCGGCCAGCCCGGTACCTGGTCCTGGAGTTAGCGAGCCGTCCCGATCGCGCCTCAGCTCCGCCTCCTTAGTTTATGGCCTCGCCGCCGCCTGGCCGGTTGCTGGGAGGGAGGGACGCTACGTGCCATGCGCAGTCGAGGGGCCCGGGGAGAGCTGGAGCGCCCCGCCCCGCCCCGCCCCGCCCCGCGCGGGGGAAGCCCCGCCCTCCCCGCTCGGCCCACGCGGGTCGGAAGCTCCGCCTGGTTCCCCGCTCGCTCGCTCGGGCCGCCCCCACCCGCTCTCGGTGCGAGTCATCTCCTTCCGCGCAGACTTGCGGGAGGGCGCTCCGTCTCCAACGAAGGGACCCGTTTCCCAGGTGCGTGGAAGCCACAAAGACGAGCCTTTGGGGTCGGAAAAGGGCTCCCCAGAACCTCTTGCCGCCACAGCAGGAAGGAAGTGGGATGGTTTCAATAATGAAGAGTTGGGGGGACTAGACTGCTGACTGGGCTACTTTGAGAATTTTACTTCCGAGTGGTGGGACTTAAATGGGACCACCTGCCCTACACTTTAGAGAGAGGAAAGGGAAGGGAGACACATCCCGGATGGAAGCGGCAACCTGCCTGGGGGTCCACACTCTAACCAAATGAGCACCCCACCAGGGCACACTTCTTTATATATATAATTGATTTTTTACAGAGAGGAAGGAGAGGGATAGAGAGTTAGAAACATCAATGAGAGAGAAACATAGATCAGCTGCCTCCTGCACACCCCCTACTGGGGATGTGCCTGCAACCAAGGTACATGCCCTTGACCGGAATCGAACCTGGGACCCTTTAGTCCGCAGGCCAACGCTCTATCCACTGAGCCAAACCGGTTAGTGCTAGGGCACACTTTAAAAATATTTTTATTGATTTCAGAGAGGAAGGGAGAAAGAGAGAAACATCAATGATGAGAGAGAATCATTGAGGGGCTGCCTCCTGCACGCCCCCTACTGGGGATCAGCCCGCAACCCAGGCATGTGCCCTTGGCAGGAATGGAACCCGGGGACCCTTCAGACCGCTGGCCGACGCTCTATCCAGTGAGCCATACCGGCTAGGGCGAGGGCACACCTTTTAAAAAAAGACATCGCAAATGCCCCCTCACTTTGGCCTCTAGGGTAACAAGCTGACAAGTTGCAAAGGGAAACCCACACTTTCTATGCTTCAGGTTACTTATCTGTAAAAGGAAAACACCTCAACTAATGGGACTATCATTTTTATCTTCTTTCCCCCTGGATCCTTCCTCATCTGCAGCCCTTAGCAGCGGTTCTCAACCTGTGGGTCACGACCCTTTCACAGGGATCCCCTAAGACCATCAGAAAACACATATATAATTACATACTGTTTTTGTGACTAATCACTATGCTTTAATTATGTTCAATTTGTAACAATGAAATTGGGGGTCACCACAACATGAGGAACTGTATTAAAGGGTCATGGCATTAGGAAGGTTGAAAACCACTGCCTTAGAGATTTGCTGTTTGCAGACACCTGTAAGGTTTGCCTTGATGAGGAAGCTAGCCTAAGCCAAGCAGGCAGGGCTTGAGAAATGATGAAGCAATTTCAAGTGATGGAACAAACCTTCCTTTTGTGGGTTGTTTTGTTTTTTCAGTGACTTACTCCAACCAGGACGGGGGGGGGCGATTTTTCTAAAATTGGATATATACCCAGAGGTCCTCGGTTGGATTCCCAGTCAGGGTGCAGGGATTTGGGCTTGCTCCCCAGTAGGGGGTGAGCAGGAGGCAACTGATCTATGTTTCTATCTCTCTATCCCTCTCCCTCTGTCTCTAAAATCAATAAAAACATATTTTAAAAAATATCTAAAAACAAAAAGGTATGAATGCCTTTTATTTTTAAAACTTTATTTTGATATTTTTAAAAATATATTTTATTGATTTTTCACAGAGTAAGGGAGAGGGAGAGTTAGAAACATCGATGAGAGAGAAACATCAATCAGCTGCCTCCTGCACACTCCCCACCTGGGATGTGCCCGCAACCAAGATACATGCCCTTGACCGGAATCGAACCTGGGACCCTTGAGTCTGCAGGCTGATGCTCTATCCACTGAGCCAAACCAGCTAGGGCTATTTTGATATTTTTTATTGATTTTTAGATAGAGAGGGAGAGATAGAAACATCGATGACACATCGCTCACCAAACTCCAGAAACTAAAAAAATACTTTTTGCTATTGTTTTAGCAGTCTGTAATAGAAGCCACTCCTATGGGTATAATTGTCTCCCCCTTACATCCTTTCAAATCATTCAAAATGAGTGACGGCAGGAACAGTAAAGGAGAGAGAATCCCGGATGATAAACTACCATATTTCACCCTTCCCACCAAAATAGATCCTGTAGACACTGCTCTAAATAATTTTCACATTGCCCATTTCTGTTGGATGCGTGGAGTGAGAGGACCAGTCAATGGATTTCTTTGGTCTAAGACCCATCTGAAGGAAAGAGATTCACATCTCGGTGCTTGACAGGAAAAGGTTCTGTTACTAAGGAAACAGAATTATAAATGATTGTCCTGCCCCACAAAAAAAGTCAAATATTGCAGATCAAGTTAGAGAACTCTGCAAGGATCTGCTTGGTTTCTATTAGGAGAAACACGAGAGGAAAGCAAAAATGCACCACTTGGAAAATAGTCCTAGGTGATTTATTTGTTTGAGAGAGGGGTGGGGGTGCAGGGGAGACATGGATTTGTTGTTCCACTTATTTATGCATTCACTGGTTGATTCGTTTATGTGCCCTGACCCTGGATGGAATCCCAACCTTGGTGTATTAGGACATCGCTCTAACAAACTGAGCTACCTGGCAAGGGCACATTTTAATTTTTAAATTTCATTTAATTTTTTTTCAAATTATGAGTTTTTTTAGAAAGTTACATAGATGTGAGCCAGTTGGGCTGGGCAGGCTCAGGAAACAAGTTATAGAAGCAAAGAAGAACCCTTGAAGCGGTTCTCAACCTTCTGGCCCTTTAAATACAGTTCCTCATGTTGGGACCCAACCATAAAACTATTTTCGTTGCTACTTCAGAACTGTAATGTTGCTACTGTTATGAATCGTAATGTAAATATCTGATATGCAGGATGGTCTTAGGCGACCCCTGTGAAAGGGTCGTTCGACCGCCAAAGGGGTCACGACCCACAGGTTGAGAACCGCAGGCTTAGCGAGAAAAGCAAAGGTAACACACTTGGGGGAAGAGGGGAATGGGAAAGATGCTGGCGTGCTTCGGACAGGGAGAGCCAGACGCCACTAACATTTTTTTGAAAATCCTCACCTGAAGATATGTTGTATTGATTTGTTTTGTTGATTTTTGAGAGAGAGAAAGACATCCACTGGTTGCCTCTTGTTTGCTCCTTTACCGGGTATCAAACCCGCAACCTAGGTTTGTGTCCTGACTGGGATCGAACCCATAACCTTTGGGTGCATGGAACTACACTCCAATACTGAGCCACCTGCCCAGGGCACATCCCTAACATTTTTACAATGCTATCGTTTAGAAGAGAATTTTATAGATACTATCCCTTGATGTTGATATACCTGTGAGATAGGTAGAGAAAATAATTACTATCCTTACTTCGTAGAAGGAAGAACAGAACAGAGACTCAAAGAGGTTAAGGACTTGCCCTAAGTCAAAGGATTTGTTATTGGTTTTGTTGGCACTAAAACCAGGTTTTATTTCCCAGTCCAGCGCTTGTTTCAGCGTTGCTAAGTGCCCAGGCAATGCAGACAAGATTGGAGAGCTTAGTGGTTTTCCAATGTGACAGTTAACATTCTCTTCTCTCTGTCCTCTGATTCCTAGAAGATAATGGTGTCCTCTAACTCAAGAGGGGGACTTCAGGGAGAAGCCGATCAATAACAGATGGGAGTTCTAAAAATAGAAATATTTAAAAAAATAACTGGCAACAATTACGGGATTCTTGTCAAGGCCAACTCTTGAAGGAAAAGCATTTAAGTGATTTTTATTGAACAGAAAAAACA